TACCTCTAAGGTGTTATATTGTGTAGTAGCATTTTAAGTACCGTAATGTGCACCACTGCCTACCACTTCGGGGATAAAAAGGCGTGATGGTGATATTATGTTATGTTGTAGCAAAACAAACACATTGTATAGTAAAATATTTATTCTAAAACATAAAACTAAATGGATTCTTATCTCTTATTGTTCTTTCTTTTAGATTTTCCTGGCCTCTGATTCTTCTTGCTATTGACCTTGAAGGATTTCGTTTTGAAATTCTTCTTTTGAGCTGCATGGCCATTGAAACCATCAAAGTTGTTGGATGATTCCCGAGTGTTTTGTTTAGAACCCTTCTTTTTGCCGCCAAACCCGAATTTCTTGTCTTTCATAGCTCGTCGCTTGTTGACTTTATGTTGTGGACCTTTGCCATCTTTTCCTTTGTTATTGCCCTTATTGCTACCTTTATTGTCATCTAAGAATCCCAAGTCTGATGATTTTCCTTTCCTGACACGTTTTAATTGTTCCAACATTTCTTTTTTGTCTGCAGCCTGCTTTAGCCTTGCATCGGTCTAAAATAAACACAATTTTTATTAGTAAATGTAAAAATTACTTACTATAGTCAGAATTTTAATTAGATTCCAGATTTATTAATTAGCTACTGTCATTTTGTGAAATAATGATACCACATATAATAGTGTAGTGATGAACACAAAAATCGATAAACAATCAGTGTGTGTGTTTTATAATAAATGTTACAGAAAGTGACAGGATAGCGATAGCGAGGACGGCGACAATTTATAAAATAACATTACCATAATACATCTATCTGTTTTATTTGTCATGTTCCTTCATGATTACATTTTTTTATTTATTTTACACACAATTATAAAAGAAAAGTCTCAAATCGTTAATTAATCGTCAAAACTAAATTATCGGTTCAGAAATATTTAATTTCCTGATATACTTAGTTTACGAGAGTAAAATTATAAACGAGAAGAATCAATCCAGAAATATTGCATTTCCATATCGAATAATTTCGCAACGTCACTATTTAGTACTTGTCATAACGTTGCAACACTGAAATTGTCAAATCTGGAATCGAATTAAAATTCCGAGTATAATACAAAAAGTATTTATGTAAAAATATACAAAGAGGAAAAGTGCAATCAATCATTTGTAAAATCCCATTTATAGAATCACATGCACTGTTTGAACATGCATTTAAATTTCATAAGTTACATAATACTTTCTCTTTTTCCCAGAAGTTACTGGTATAACAAAAAGTGGTGGCAAACATATTATATTACTGTTGTTGTAAAACCTATTGAATATGAGTATTTTACCTGGACTCTTTTAGCAATCTTCTTCTGATCTCGGAGCTGTCTAACTTTCTCCGTGCGTGCCTGTGCTGCTTGTTTCGCCATCAGGTTTTTGCGTACCTTCTGCATGTGCTCATCCGATTTAGCCATCTCCGCAAAGTAATCATCAGGCCTGGAAGTAAATTAAAAAGAGTATTAGACAGGTTGGAATGGTATCATTTACTGCAATATAAAATGAATAATAGTTTTCTATACATTTTATAATTGTTAGATATTAATATAGTTTGTCCAACAGTAGTCAGTAACTGTTTGAGGATTTTGATAAGATTTTTGTTTTAAATGAATGAATAAAGAAATTGACGAAAGCAAGACTACATTTACCTGGACACTTCTGTTACAATATTTTACAGAAAATTTTATTGAAAATGTATAAATAACGTCAAATATAAATAATAATAAAATAATCAAGTGCAAATAAGAATGTGGACCGCGCGAGGACAAGTGATCACTGCAACCTGCAAACTCGTTTCAACATCTGGAGAGTCAACAATGAAATGCCATCGTTTTAAAAAGGAGTGGAGGGCTAAGGTTTTAAGTTACATGAGTTAGGTTAAATTCTTACCTTCTTGTAGGGATTCCAAGATCTTTGAGTTTCTTTATGCCTTCAACAACAGCCGCTTGTGCCTGTCTATGCAAGAGGTTCTCTCGTTTGAACTCATTAAGGACTGGGTCCTGAGTAGGATCATAAAGTTGATGTCCTTTGCTATTTTCTTTTAAATTCCTAGAAAAAACAATGCAACCTTATTTATGTTTTTTATGTGCCATCAAGTGTTGATTTGGCAGACAAGATTGGAAATACATTTTGTAACAATGAAGTAAGATTTTTATTAATATATGAATGAATTATTGAAGGCATTACACAACAAATAAGTGTTATAAGTGTAAACAAATTAATAAAACTTGACATATTTAATTATAATATGAATGAGTGTAATAGCCATGAAATAGGGAAAATACTTCTTGCTGTACCACAGAAGTTTAGTTGGTGATCTTTGGAGATATATTTTACAATTAACTCGTCAAGTACCGGTTTTGTAGACACAATTATAGAACAATAGGTTGCGGTCACCGGTGACCGCTTGGTGTTTGACAGTTTAAATTATTACAAAACAAAGATTTATTCCCCATGTGCAGAGGGGTAATATTGTGAAATACATTTTCCAAAATAAATAACAAAAGGAACATACTTTCTTCGCTGTGCAGTCTCTTGCATTTGTAATGCTACATCTGGAGCCATGGGTGCAACAGCCGTTACCAAGTCTAACGTCTCGATCCATGGTAATTTTAATTGAATATCTTTCAGTTTTAATTTCAAATCTGCTACGTTATTTACATAATTCTTTTGAGTTACTTCTATTTCTTCATTGAGACCAGGTTTAAGTAATCCTTTGGCAAACGCCTCCTGCAGCTAGAAACAGAAAATAAAGAGCAAATAAATGTAAATTAAAACGAATGTTCTTTACCGGACGCGACACCTTTTTATTTCACCCAGAAACTTACTTCCTCATCAAAATCAACTTCTGAGTCGGTGTCGTTTAACACAAAGTCACTCATTGTAAATTATTAAGAGTAACCTGGTAAAATTTTAATGTAGGTAATTATCTACTTTTGTCCACTTTTAACAACATAACCTCAATACTATAAAACGTGCATTTGACTTTGACATTTATAGTATAGAATGGAACCCTATGGCCTATAGAGTAAGATACTAATATACTCTTTGATATGGAAGTATTGTCTATGTTTATAAACTGTGGGCTCTGTGACGTTGAGTAAACCATAGACTATGTTTAGGGTCGCGGAGAACCTAACGGGTAACCGGGGCTCCGGCTCGACGTGCAGGAGAAGGAACGGGGTGGTTTTTAGTCAGTAAGAGTCTGACACTCCCTCCCGCCTCACCCAGGCGGGGGCAGTCATTCGATGATTTTCCCCCCTTAAAAAAAAAAAAAAAAAAGACTATGTTTAGGATGTTGAGAATAATAACTAGCTAAATATTCTAGATTGTCTATGAAGGAAAACCATGTTTCTTTTTGGAACTTATTTACATAATTTATATTTAAAAATAAATAAATATTAACAACTTGATAAAACATGAAACAGTGATGTTCAATTAATTCTATTTATGTAATAATTTAATCATGTTGTTTAAATGTTTATATAGTGTAAAACTTTGCACAATTTATTGTAAATGTGAGAGCCCTGCAATTAATAAAATTAAAATAGACTAGAACGGGCACCGTCAATTGGGACTGGTCAGCTCCAGACTGTATGATTTATGGTCCTCAAGGTTATTTTCTTTATCAGTCTCTTTGACTGCATTTAGGTATTGCATTGTTCTCACACAATCGAACCAACAAAACTATGTAACTAGAGAATTGTATAGTAAACCCGATTGAAAAAGAGTAACCTATGGAGTTTCTTGCTCGTTCTTCTCCATAGGAATCAACACCTTGGAATGAGCAACTAGCTTCACTTCTAGTTTTTTTTTTGTTGTTGACGTTCACAAGTGCCTTCGGTCTAATTGAAATAAATGATTTTGACTTTTAAAAACTAACGGAGACATTTAAATAAACTTATATAATTACAAGTTTTTAGGTGTTTTTTAAATGTCTATGAAAGTACGAAAGAAAATCGACTTCTTGTACCTGAGTCTTTACCATTGATATGATAAGAGTACAGACAGTTTACAGTTTTACAGACTTTTCAGTTATTGTTTTTACCCAGTTTAATCAAAATTGGTTTCTATTCAATGGCATTTATCCCAATTAGAGGTTCCAATCCCTGGCAAAGAACGTATTTTTTATTATGGCCCATGCGCACTTATTTGTCTATCCGTGTGTCTAACGCACTCATAAGCTCGTACACATGGAATGAAAAGGAAGGAAGAAAAACCGTTTATTTGCCCCGTGACAAATATAGACCAACATAATAAAAGTATAGGTAGGTACAAGCCTACCCTAAGTTCGACCACAAAGGTTCGAGTCCACGGTGCTGACTTAAATTTTCCACTTAAGTTTCCCTGGCCTAGTCAGTGTGGTGATTTAATAAACGTACTGATCTAAAACCATGGGGCACAAGGAAATTGGAAATTAAACAAGCATTGTTTCCTGCCGGTTATCTTTGTGTTATTTTCTTGATATTATTACAGTCCCGTCTAATTTGTGCGGCACCAACTATGTCAAAAATATAAAATATGATATTTACTAAAAGTGTAGTTTTACATCTACCCTTAGGTAAATATTCGTCTAGTCATTATTGATTACCTTGCATTTTTCTAATTGTTTCAATTATAATATTTATTATGGTTGGATTTTAGGATTTTAGACTAGCCGTAGACTAAATAGTTTGTTGATTATTTTGAACGCATCCGTAACATGGACAATATTGTCTATTCTTTTCAGAAAATTAAAAAAAGAACTTGATTGTCTTTAAAGTTTATCCATAGACAATAAACCACTACTTTTACATACTTTTTATTTTAAAATAATGTTATGTTTAATTTAAAATGATAAATTAAAGCTTTTAAAATATTTTGTAATATTTTATAGTTATTTCCGTTACCTAAACTTTATTTTACTGAGAATATAAATATATTCTATAAAGCATTACTCGCTTGACCGGAAGTACTTAGTAGTTCGACATGTTTCATGAAACCCCCGTTGTTTTGTATCAAGAAAATGCAATGGCCGCCATCTTCGACTCTTGTGAATGTTTTGGTCGTAGTTACGGACTTTGAGGCCTATTTATTACGTGCTATGCAATTATTTGATGGAAATAGTTTCGCTACGTCCTACGTGTTGTAAAATTGCTTATATACAGGTCAGTACAAGTTTCCTTCAGTATTTTCTCGAAAAGTGTTTACATCTGGATTTCATACTTTTTAACTATTGTGATGTTGTCATTTTCTATAAATATTTAGTTAATTTCTTATTCCAATTAACAATTACTATTGTTTTCGGTACAATTAATTCATTACAATTTTATTGAGGGGATATAAATATACAAACCTCATTTTCGTATGTACTTATATTTCTAATGTCTTTGTTACTAAGGTGAATTGGTAGCACGGTAAAGTTAAATATTTCGTGTTAAACTGCTATCTTACGGTAAGATTTCAGTTAAAAATATCTTATAAGTATTGTGTTTACTTTTTTTGATGTTTATTACCGAGACATTTCAGTTTCCGTGCTACAATAATGGCGGCAGTGGATTAACCTATTCGTTTATTTTACGCATTTATTCCTTTTCTCTTACGTTTATTATGTATTATTTTGGTGTTATACTTTATATTTTCTCGTAGGGTACAAAATAAAGTGACTTTCAAATAGTTTTGTGGAACAATGACCTCGGCGGTCGTATCCTATTTGTGGACTAAAAATATTTTACCAAGAACATTATGGTGTGCGACACACGTATACCTGATCATTTTGAAGATATATGGGTAAAGAATAGATTTTCGGTTGCAGTCACATGAAATAAAATTTGGGGGCCGAGGTGCACTCCAAGGCGTCATCTCGGGTTTGACCCAAGATGATAGTATATACGTTATGTCAGCCACACCAGAATACGAACCAGCGGCCCGGCAAGTAAGTACAACGCCTTTACTAACATTACACACACTACTAAGGTCCTAGATAGTCCTGCTGACATGGACACATAACCAGTCACTTAGCACTATATTTGTAAATATTATGATTTTGTAACCAATAACATCATGTTCCTACTCTGCTTTCCTACTTCCTACACCACAAGTTACACAATTTTACTATTCCTGCTTGATACCAAGTAACTGCTTGTGAAATGCCTTTTCTTACTGTGTGAGTGAGAATTATTCCATTTGGATATAAACTAGTCATGTATTTTTTAATGTGCAGTAAAAGTCATAACATGAAGAGGTACCATTTTTCAGCTCTTGAACATTGTGATAAATAAAGTTTTGAAAGAAAAAGTGTATTCTTTGATATCCTCTTAAGTTTTAGTTTTACAGGTTTTTGGTGAGTAACTTAAAGTTGCTATATATTTGTGTTATAAATGAGGAAATTTGATATTTTCTCAGATTATTAATCCTGTTGATAGCCTGTTAAATATGTTATGCAGGGAATATAGTGTCAACCAGTAGATTTAAAACCTTTTGATTCCAATGTTAATATTCTTATAGGTTTATTATGTTTGTGGAACTGTAGTGTTAAACTCTTGTGGATTAAAAGTCCACTATAATTTGTATAGTTATAGTCTAGTGCTTGAAGAACAAACATTGTTGGTGAACAGTTGTATGTATAATTTGTTATGTATATTTATGCACATTATGCAAAACTGACACATTTCATTACAAATACGAAATTATGTGTATCATCTGTGTTACCTGAATTCCACAAAGATTAATTTGATTTAATGTTTTGTTATAGGATTACGGGCCGACCACCTCCAGTGAAAATGTATATGAACATGTATTGGATCACAAATTAGCGAATATGAATGTATCTAGTGTGAGAACTCCTGTGTTGAGGGCCCTGCCCTTGTCTCCCACTGAAGGTGATCCTGAACCTGATTCTACAAACCCTGAAAGTATCATTCAATCTGTGCACAAAGTAGACAAAGAAGTTGAATATCACATTGCTGAGAAACACTGTGATACTGACATGTCTGTTGATTCCCTCTGTGGTGGCATTGTCAGGCTTGGAGAGGCCATAGATAATGTTGGACGCCCATCATATCCTATACTACAAGAAACAGAAGATTCAAATGACAATTATGTAGAAAATCCCACAACCCTTATACAAGCACCACTGAGTACTGCAATTGTTCAAAATGTAACTAAATTGCCTCAGAACTTTACAATAAATGTTGATGCAGCTGTTGGAAACATTACATCTATACAGAATGTACAAGATGTATCCGGAAACCAAACCTTATGGCTGCCTACGATACTTGCCACCAGTGCTGCTACTAATGACCCCAATAAGATAGATGATGAGAGATCACAAGCTGGTGTGTCACAAATCATTATCACTAGTGAGAGCTATGTTAACGATGCCAATCAAGCAAGAAGAGCAAACATTGTTGCTGAGACTAACTTTATAAGCAGACCCAAGACTTCTAAAGTCCAAATATTAAGTAACATATCTATTCCCAAGAACCCAAATTACAGCCAACAATATTTAACGGGAAAGGAAATTGCGCCTGTATATGGAACTCAAAATCATGTTTACAAATTGAGCAATTCAGTTCTTTGCACTAAACCTCCGAAAAATCAATCATTGATTGGATGCTCTACTCTACCGCCAAATGTTGTGAACAATAGCCCAATTAAAAATACGTCCTACAGTCACAATTTTACCAAAAGCACAAACCTAAATAAAACATTGAATAAGGTAAACAATGGTGCTAATCTTAATACTATGGTTGCTGCCTCATCAGGTAACTCACAATGTCATATATTGTCTCGTGTGGTTTCTGGACCCAATAAAATGTCTGTACATTCTGGAAGAAAATCAGTAAACACTTTTAAGGGTTCAAAAAACTCTGGACAAGTTTCTAACCAAAAGAACCAATCAAGGCCAATAAAAATAATACAACAGACTGGGTCAATTAACAAATCAGAGGCAAAAACTTGGCCAGTTGCCAGTGTCACATACAAGAACCAGCAGCCAAGTTATGGAGTAACAGAGTCAAATACATCGAAAGTCATCCAAAAAGTAGGCAGTCCCACACATAAGAGTCAACCTCTATCTCTATCAAAATTTCCTCCAAAAACAGAACGTTTAGTGTTACAGTCGCCCTGTGGACCTGTTCTGATTTCTACAGCTCCAATAAGTACCAGTTTACCGAAGGGTCCTCATTATGTGCAGTCAGGATCTACACCTAATTTGCGATATGTTCAAACATATGGAACTGCAGACAATCCAATATCAACAGTATCGCAAGTTACTAACCAACAGTTAACTGCCCAAATATTGCAGTCCTTATCACAACCCAAACTGATGTTGCAACCCAATCCCACATCAATCAATCATAATCTTACTCCTTTACCGCCTACACCCGAAGAACCAGTAGAAGTTAAACCAGCCAATCAAAAAAGAATTGTTGTGTGAGTATATGCTAACTGTGTACATTCATAAGTCGTTCGTAATTATTCCAAAATCACAAAATGTTATGTTAAAATTACCTTTTATTTTGTTCCAGTGGCGATAAAACAACATTACTCACTGAAGACGACATTATCGGCATGGAAGAAAGACCAAACCTTTCAGAAGAGCTAAGAAGATATTCTTTCCAACCCTTAGCCTTTGTGATGTTGGATCACACATACGCTCAGCCCGCGCAAAAGCAGCCTTCAGCCACTCCGCCTACGACGCCGGTATCCACTGGCCCACCTCCCACTATAATTTCACCCACATTAACTACATCTCCTATGAGTCCCTTAAAACGTAATTCACCCGTAATCATGTCCACAGCGTCTTATGAAATGCCTTTAGCAGTGCCTACTAGTGTTATTGGAACACCTGTACCAGTTTCTTCTATACAAATGGCACCGGTTACATATAAACCCCCACCACCTCCACCGCCAGACGACGACGCTGCTTCAGTTATTTCATCGATTGACGGAGATCGGAAAGCCAACAGGGGAGGTAGCGACACTGAAACCGCGCCTGAAGGCGAGGAAGAAGGCAAGACAAGATGCATTTGTGACTTCACTCACGACGACGGTTACATGATTTGTTGCGACCGTTGCGGTGAGTGGCAGCACGTCGACTGTATGGGCATTGACAGGCAGAATATACCAGACGCATACATGTGCGAGCTCTGCCATCCGCGGTCTATAGACCGACGACACGCTCGAGCCATACAGTTGAGGAAGAGAGAAGAACTCAGCGCCCTTGGTGCGTCAGATACGGACTCGTCTGAAAGCAGCCGTCCTCCAGGACAGAGAAGAAAGCGATTGCTGACTGTCACCACATATACCAATACAAGTGGTTCATGTGTCACCACATACAACTCTACTATACCAGTGCTTCCACCAATTCCACAACCATCGACACTGACTTTACCTAAGCGAGGACCTAAGAGGCCGAAGAAAACGGAAGTTGTACGAAAAGGCACGAAAAGAAAACTATCGGAAAAACGTGTAAAACGGAAAAAAGAAATGATGCTTAACAGAAGTAAATACAGTTCAACCATGTCGAATCAGTCACACTTCCAAGACTCTTATGAACTTGCTGTGACGAACCATTACAGTCCAGAGTTGAGGGCTAAGATTATGAAATATAGCAATAAACTTGGTAATACTCCTAACATGGCGTATGCTATGAACGCGCATTTATGTACCACTGTGCCCCATGCAGGTGGAAAGATTCTGATTGCTACTAAGGACTTGAAAGAAAATACTCCAGTAATAGAGCTACGAGGCAAATATATGTTATCAAACCAGCATAGACCACAACTACAAAATACTGCGAGAGCAGGTAGCCAGAAACCGGGACCTTTTGTCTTCTTCTACAGATTACCTAAAGACAACACGCAAATATGCATAGATACTAGAACATACGGGAATGAAGCAAGATTTGTACGTAGATCTTGTAAACCAAATGCCGAGTTGCAACACTGTATAGTTAAAGGCACATTACATGTTTATTTAGTTAGTATTGGAGTAATCCAGTCTAACACTGAGATAACTGTTGGACATGATGCGGATGGCAGCAAACAGCCATGTGCTTGCGGAAATCCGAAACATTGTAAAGTGAATGGTCTCAACACGTTAGCGTCCCGAAAGAGTGTGGACTATCCGCCTAGAGAGAAAAGAAGCAGAAATAGATGCTTCAGTTCTTCATCTCCAGTATCTCCACCGCTCCCTCCTGCCGCCACTACTCCAGTTAAAGAATATGTACAACAAATATCTGCGATGAAATCCGAAAAGAAATCTCCACAGCAAATTAAACATGAATACCCTCCACTATCACCTGTGAAGACAGCAGTAATGGCATTGAACTTTGATGAACCGCCTAAACCTGAGCCGATAGAAGATATTAAAACTGAAATAGATCTGATAGCCAAAGAGGAGATGAAGCCTGAAGAAGATGAACGTGACTACTGTTGTAAGCCGGAAACTGTTGAAACTAAATTTGAAGAAATAAAACACGAGTTAATCCCACTTCCACTCGATGAAGAACCTAGACCAACAATCATTTCTAAAGCGGAAGTAAAGGAGGTGAAGGAATTTAAGATAGAGAAGGAACCCGTGTATTCTGATGAAGAAAAACCAGAAAAAGTAGAAGAAAAGAAACCTAAAGAAGAAATAAAAATGGAAGAAGATAGACCAGTGACTAGAGAATTTATGGCTAAGTCAGCGTGCCATGACAGATCATCAAGGTCCAGTCGGACGACTTGCGTGAATCAAGACTCTCTGGATGATAAAACTGATGATTCTCAAGATAAAATACAGACTAATAACAAAGAGAAAGAAAAGAGAAAGATGGTGAGTTCGAAAAACTCAAGTGAAACTCAGCCTCCAAGCCTTGGGACGAGACAAAATTCTAAACCTGTATCTAAATTACAGACGCGCGAGGAACGTAAGATGGAAGCTATAATGAAGGCGTTTGAACGCATGGAAAAAGCTGAACAGCGCAAACAGGAAGTGAAAGAAAGGCAGAAGAGGCGAGAGTCTGATCCACATCCCAATGCTAATGATAAGGATGAAGATGATGAAGTTCACAACACTACTAAAAAGAGGAAAAAGTAAGTATCCATTTTTATGTAAATTATTTTAAATATTTGTAGCTGTTATTACTTGTTTTTTAAAGTAAAACAATTTTAGAGTTTAACTCGTCGAGTACCGGTTTTGTAGACACAATTATAGAACAATAGGTTGCGGTCACCGGTGACCGCTTGGTGTTTGACAGTTTAACTACATTACAAAGTTATTGAAATGTAGATTATTAGAATTCTTTCAAAACTTAAAATGTTTATAACTGCTTCTTTTAAATTTAAATTTGTATAATTGTTTGCAAATATTGATGGTGTATGTATGATCAGGCGCAAGGGTCGTGCCCGTACAACGTCGCAGTCGAACCGGCGGCGTCTGAACTCTGCGGACAGCGATATGGTGACGTCGGGCGACGAGGCTCAGCCGCCGCCGCTCACTCCGCCCCGGCCGGGCCCGCCGCGCCGCGACAGTGCGATTCCTCCACCCAACGTCGACCACGACCGCACTACTGATGGGCCACATGAAGTACGTACAATATACATTATAATAAACAATATTATTGGGTTCTAAAGCATATGTCACTATCTATATTGAAATTTTTCATTACAGGAACTCGGCTTGAGCTCTGCATGCTTATTAGTTGAAGCAGCTGTAGGTTCTGTTGAATCCGCCTTTAAATTACCAAAAACTAAGAAAACAATGGCGACTGAATGGATAGGAAGGTCGCCTGAACGTACACCATCACCTTATAGGTCTCCTTACAGACCAGCCTTGGTCGCCGCACCGTCATTAGAAAGTCTGGTTAGAGTCGCATCGACTATGATTGGGGATCTAAGTGGAGGGAATGACTTGGAACCTGAAGAAGACAGTAGAGCTTCGCCCCCTAGAACACCGGGGAGGGATCGAAATAAACCTCCGAAGAAAGCCAAGCGAATAACGAGGAGTACGCCGCCTGCCGAGGTGGCCGAGGTAGTGCCGCCAGTGATACAACAACACAGCGCCAAGAAGCGGTGGCTGCGGCAGGCCATCAGCGAGGAGAGTGACTCGCCTGTTGCAGGTTTGCCTATATTTCACTTATTTATTTATTTATTTATTTATTAAACTTTATTGCACATACAGTGTAATTGGCGGACTTAATGCCGTAGGCATTATCTGACAGTCGACCATTGGGTGGTGCAGAATGTTAAAGCGGTAGGTGCAAAATTGTAAAAAGAAAGTATGAAGTAGTAGATAACGAAGTTAAGGTATAAAATATTAAAGAGGGAAGATATGATAGTTATAGTCGATAATACATAACTAAGGGTATAGGGACTTAAAATGAATTATATAATAAATATATATCCCAAATATGCATACATATAATATGATATAATTACTATATAATACATAAATATATAAATAAATGCAATACATAGACTACATATTACCACTGTTTTGAGTTTGCCACTTTTTATAAATGTGTTCCCGAACCTTAAATTTAAATGAACAGCGATTATTTGCCATTCTGATTTCCTTGGGCAGCGCATTCCACAGAGAGACAGATTGAACGAAAAAGGAGGAGTGAAGATAGTCAGTGCGGTGAGTGGGACATTGAAGTTGACGGTTATTAGATGAGCGAAGGTATTTAGAATGGTTTGCGCATGTATATTGGAAGTAGGAAGCTAGATAAACAGGTGAAGAAGGAGAGTCGAGAAAAGAAAATAAAGTAGTTAACGCCCTTTGTTGCCTGCGCAGGCGTATGGGCAGCCATTTTAATTGCAACCGATGTGCAGAAACATGATCATATTTACGTAAATTGAAAACGAATCGAATGCAGTTATTTAGAAGACGGTCAATTTTGTTGAGTAGATCTGCATTCAGGTCGTAGTAACACACATCAGCATAATCGATGATAGGAAAAATCAGGGCCTGCACCAGCCGTGCCTTGGTAGTAGACGGAAGGAAGTTTCTAAGGCGGTACAAGCCTCGCAACGACCCAGTTACCTTCTGGCATACACTAGTGACCTGTGCACGCCAGCTCAATGTGTTGTCAATATGTAAGCCAAGATCCTTCACATCCTCACTAAACGGGATCGCCACATTATTGTACGAGACAGGCTGCAGCGATGCGACACTGACTGTTTTCCAGGTACGTGTGCTTCCAATGATTATGGCTTGACATTTGTTTGGATTTACTTCTATGCCGAACCTTTGTGACCAGTTGTAGATAGCAGCCAAATCACCATTTACTGCCGTGATAGCACTAGGTAAGTCATCCACTGCAGCCTGACAGTACAGCTGCAAGTCGTCCGCATACAGATGATACGCACACCGAAGTTCAGAAGTAATGAAATTAATAAAGATTGAAAATAAAAGAGGAGAGAGAATGCCGCCCTGAGGGACACCAGCCAGCAGATCACACCAACCTGAAGAATTATCGTCAAGCCGGATCGACTGCTGACGCCCCCGAAGATAGGAAGAGAACCAGTCCAGTGTTTTGTCAGAGATTGCAAGATGGGACAGGATGGCCAAAAGGAGATCGTGACTGACCATATTAAAAGCGTTTGAAAAGTCAACTAATACCAAAACAGTTACTTTGGTATCCTCAATCCCTGCCCTAATATCGCCAGTCACTTTAAGGAGGGAGGAGACAGTGCTGTGTCCAGGTCGAAAACCTGATTGGAGAGGGCTTATTAAACTGTTTCCATAAACAAACCGTGACAGCTGCTTATGGACACAAGCTTCAAGCACCTTAGACAGGAAGGGAAGGATTGAGATTGGACGGAAGTGAGTGGGAAGAGATGGGTTACTAACCTTAGGCAGTGGACGAACAAAAGCTTTACGCCACAAGGACGGGAACACTCCAGAATACAAGGAATAGTTGACAATATGGGTAATTGCTGGAAGGAGATAAACCAGGATGGACGTGATCATGTCACGGGAGATGGAGTCACAGCCAACAGCTTTGGATTTAATGGAGAGGATTGTCTTACGAATCTCCTCCGACTGAACTGGTATGAAGCAGAAATTTTCGACCCCAGGACGAGGCAGACTGGAAATAGAAGACAATGTGTTTCGCTTAGTTAGGTGATCCAGAGATGAGACAGTGGAAAAATGATTATTAAGTTCATCTAAGCCAATCGAAGAAGGAAGGTTAGCGGGTTGCGGTTTGCCGATACCTAGAGTTCTCAAGAACTTCCAGATATCAGCTGGAGATGAAGAGGAAATATTATTGAGAATGTGGCGGCGTTTGGCGTTGCGTACCATCTGATTACATCTATTCCTCGCAGTTTTATATGCCGTCCAGTTCTCCTCTGTCCGATCCCTCTTGTGCTTCCGAAACGCGCGGTCCCTGCGACGCATAGCCGCCTGGATCCCTCTGGTCATCCATGGTGCCGGAGCACGTTTTAATCGGATTCTTTTGACAGGCGCATGATGGTCATAAAGGTTAATGACAGCTTTGTTGAAAATGTCAATCTTGTCATCAACCGTAGTAGCTTCCATTAGTGGTTCCCAGTCTATTCTGGACGCGTCCTCCAAAAGCTTCTCATTGTCCACCTTCCCGAAGCAACGTCTGTACAGTACCCTGGGTTTTGCCTTGGGTGGTTTCAGGATGTAGGAGAGGTATATAAGGTCATGATGAGAAAATGCCGGAGCGTCATGTTGACCATGGCAAGAGACGAGGGACGGATTAGATGTGAGGATTAGATCGAGCCAGGTGTCGTCCGCGACAGTATTGTGGTGAGTGGGTTGGAGTGGTAATATGTGCAGACTAGTTGACTCGACCAGGTGTAGGAGTTTGCGGGATCGAGGGGAGTGGGTAAGGAGGTCAGTGTTGAAGTCACCCATGATTACGAGATGCTCGTACATTGAACCCACGGATTCCAAAACTGATTCGAATTCAGTGAAGTAATCGACAGTTGGAGGGCAATATACAACCCCAATAAGAATTTTGGCCCCCTGGACACAAACCTCTAAGAATATATACTCAGCAGGACAATTAACGGGAGAAAGTTTGAGTAATTTGTAAGGGAAGTCACTGCGAAGATACACTGCCACACCTCCCCCTCTCCTAGCAATCCGGTCATTCCTAAGCAGAATGTAACCTGTAAGGGGGTAGGTAGTGGATAGGAGTTGCGGCTTGAGCCAGGTTTCAGAAAGCAGAATGGCATGTACATTACTATTGTTAAATGTTTCATAGAAGTCACTGTAATGGCTCGGGAGACTTTGTGCATTTATGTGGCAAACATTGAAAAATTTGTCGGACGAGAAAGAACGATTAATTAAATCACTAAGAGAACCGCCCAAAGAACAGAAACTGTCATTAGTCGAAGATACATCATCGTCAGCAGATATAAAATCGTCAGTATCGGACATATGCTGGAAGTATTACAAGATATATAAATTTTATAAAATATATGTTACTAATAAATATATATATATATATATATATTCTAATAAAAGTACTTAAATAACTATGAGCGCGAAACAAATAAGGCAATAATTAAATCGTAAACGCCTGCATCCCCACACCACCCGCCAGCCAACGACATCGATGCACATTTAAAAAAAAAAAAAAAAAGGATGGATACGTTGACATCATGAGAATGCGATAGCAAATGTAAATACAGCCATAATAAAAACAAAATTAAGGAGAAAAAGAAATTTAAAGATAATTAAACAAAGTGAACAAAACAAATAATAAAACGAGATGAGAGTAGCATACATCAGTGCAACAATAAAACGAAAATTCATTACATCGCGTCAGTGGGTTGAGAACAGTATAATAGTGATTGACCATAGAGTTTGTATTAAATTAACAACAAGCAAAACTAAACGTAACGTAAAACGTCAAACTCAAACTTTTGTGGTTGTCAATTGAACTCAATTGTTGTGAATGATTTTTGAGTGTACTGTTAAATTTTATGTAATTAAGTGTACGAACTGTTGAGTGAACATGGTTGAATTCAATTAAGTGATTTTAATAATATTATGTAGGTAAACAGCAAAACTAAATCGAATGTAAAAATGTATATACCGGCGCTGTTTACAATACAGGATAGTGGGTTGAAGTGTAATTTTATTACTGTACCACCCACCGACACAAAAGATGATAAAATAAAGGTAAGTAATTATTACAATTATACAAATGACTCTCTTATCGGATATGTATGCACTGATAGCTTAATATATTGAGTCTAATACCTATGTTTTCCCCTTTTGCAGACCATCGCCCGGCGCCTTAGGGTACTTTGACAGAAGTGGCTTCAGCTCGTCCATCGAAGTAATTCGGTGTTTACTTCCATCAAGAGGTTTGACCACTATGACACCATCCTGGGTCCAACACGACTGAACTCCAAAATGCAAACGCGCCTTTCCGAAGACCTCTTGCCGGCGTCTTGTGAGGAACTCCTTGACAGAGATGGAAGAACCCTTGAGACCCTTTTTGGCTCTCCACACCGAAGACCTGTCTGCAACTGCCCCGAATCTAACTAATATTGGCCTGTGCCTGTTTTCCGACTTTGATAAACCAAGCCTATGGCAAGCCTTGAGGGACGCTGGTGTAAAGTGCTCCAGAGAAAGCTTGTTCTTCAATATATTTAGAACAATTGCATAGCAGTCCTCGCCATCATTCTCCTTAATTCCGTGGAACAACAGAGCTTTTCTACGTTTCCGGGTCTCAGCATCTTCGAACTCCTTAACACATGCACTGATCTGACTGCGGAGCAAGCCCAGCATGCTGTACATCAGCGTTCTGAAGGTCCGGAGGTCCTCTGCAACTTTAGCTACCGTTTCTTTGGCAGGTCCGGCTGACTTCATCTGACTCTTCAATTCAGCCATTCCAGTCGCGAACTTATCCTCCAGTCTCAACTGCACAGTCAATACCTGGGCCAACTGTTCCTCCATCTCCGGCTGCTACTGTGGCTCAGTGATTCTGTGATTACTGTGGGTGCTAATGATGCTTAGTGTGATGTGCTGATGATGGGCTGGCAGGTGGTATCAGACTTAGGCTTTTAGTGACGTTAAAGAGCCACAATTGTAAATAAAAAAAATAAATAATAATAAATGGAATTTGTAAATAAATTAAATCCTTAACAAAAAACACGTCTGACACTTGTTGGCGCCACTTAAAATATAATATTTTTCTAATGTTGAACCAGTAATTCTATGTTCATTTTAGACGTGTTTGTTTCAGAATCACCACCCAACGAAATGGTAACGCCATTGAAGAAACGACGACTAGCAAGAGAGTCTCTTTCATGTGAACAGAACAATATTGTGCCTGTAAGTAGCTATTCCATATTATCTTAAAAATATTTATAAAATTGTAATAAAAAGGCAATACTAGAACTAATAGAAATATTTTGTTACACAGTGTAATGAAGAAACCTCGCCTATTTTAACGTCAGAAGACTCTCCGGTCAAAGATGACGTGCAACCCTTGACGAGGCAATTTAAAGTCAGAAATATTATGTATGATAGTTTATATGGTAGAGATAGAACTCGTTCGGACAGCGGACAGGGCTCTGATGACCAATGCACCATAGATAATGACATGTTGAACATGAATATAAAAGGTCCACATGACAGTGAGAACATTAGGAGAATAATAGGAGTTCCAACACCTGAAGATGAACTCCCACCTGAAATACCTAAACCTGACGATATAAAAGCTAACAACAATAATGTTGAAATGGATGAAAGTAATTATAATAAAGTAGTGCCAATGGAAATAGATACAACAATACCTGCACAGCCAAAAATACAAGAGTCTATCGATCTTAGTATAGACGTGAAGGGAATCGAGAGCCCAAATGATAAACTAAATAGCTGCCAGTCAGCAGACACGAGTGGAAACTCGTCACCACAACGCGACGAGATGGATGATATACAGAAGAAAATACATTCATTTCACACAGAGAACATACAAATATTAAAGAGTAGAAATAAAAAACCCAAGGAAAAGCGAAAGAAAGTGAACCTAAACTTCGACCTCAACATGGTGGATGATCAGATTAGCGTGCAGCTCCGAACGGAGAATGACACGTCTAAATCCATAGAAATTAATGGAGACATTCACGACGACATGAGCAATTCAGTTCATGATGACGTCAAAGTTCATGTTTCGCCAGAGAACATACCTCTGCCGCCTGTAGAGTCAATACCTCTACCTGCACCCGAGAACATACCGCTGCCCGAAGAACCAAGTCCGATGCCTGTAATACCGCCTCCGGAAACTATACCTCTACCAGAGGAACCCATGAAACCTGTGAAATCAATTCGTCCAGCATCACCTGTTGTAGAAAAGCTTGACAAAATTGAGAAACCCTTCTCAATCGACAGGCCGTCCGTGTTAGAGAATTCAACGCTACCTTTCTCGTCGCGGTTTAGTTCAACAGGACTATTCTCCGGTATATTCAGCAATATGTCTCAGTCGTTCAACATGGACAATTCAATAAATGAGAACGTACCGAACATGTCTATAATAAAGAGTGCAATAGATAGGACTACAAGTTTAGATAGTAGTTTATTTGACAAGGACAGTATTACGCCAGCAGACGATCTGAAGAGCGTCCAGGAGATATTAACGCGAGTGAATAATATGGACTCAAATAACAGTGTAATATTATCAGGGGTGCTCAACAGTTCAAATAAAGCGAGTTTGTTAGCTCCATCCCCCAAACCACTCGCAAAGCCTTATTGCCCGCGAACCAACGACCCCAGACTGAACCCTCCGCCTGTAGAAAAACCTAAACCAGTAAGAAGGAAGGTGAGTGCTTGTTAAACATTTATTTCATCATTGCATTTGACTTAGTACAAGAGTTAAGTTCTAAAATGTGTTTCATGTCCTTTCCTGAATCTGAATGCATTGGAAAATATAATAAAGTTGCCTACTAATTAAATGTTCAGAGCTGTTGTGTCAGAGCATGTAAAACCAGCCCAAGGTCGCAGATTAGATAATGGTAAAAACTGATGTCCACGTGATATCCGTCCTACTGAGGACTTCTTTACTAAACTACTACTCTCAGATGTGTTACATGTTTTTATTTACACTGGAATGAGTTATGTAATTCATATCTAATTGTTTGTTTATTCTAATCATTCCTTTATCTCTATGAATAGTTAAAGGTTACTTTCGATTATGACTCTCATTCTCAGTTGCTGATATTTCATTGTAAAGTCTACAATATGAACAATATAATGATATAGAATAGAATTTCTACTTAGCCGTGTTTCGGCTGTCGAGTATTTCAAAACAGTGCATCGACCGATACGGCGACGGATGTTATTCTAATGCTAGGGCACAGTTATCGGTACTCGACGAAGATTCGATATAAACTGAGCTTGTCGAATGAATGTTATGAGTATGCTGGTCACACTTATATTGACACCGAGATGTCGTCGAAGGCTGGTAAGTTTGATCTGGAACTCAGCCAAGATTTTGTGATCATCGACAAAAATATGTTGGTTCTGTAATAAACACTTGAACTAATAGAGAAAATAAATGTTACTGTTCAGGAATGCGACAGTGAAGACTACAATGTTCGTAATGATACTGAGTTCTACTTGTTTTCATAGTGTTTTCTCCATTTTCAGCACTTACTGCAGATTCGTTATTAATATAATTTTCTATTAATAAATAAATACTAATAAGATTTATGTGTATGCACAGCTCTCTATAACGGAGTACCGTAAGCGGCACAAAGGCGGGTGTACGGAGGAGGGCGGCGGCGGGTCCTCAAGTGAGGCCGGTGAGACGGGGGAGGCGGGCTCCGGCGGGGAGGCGGCCCCCGAGTGGTCGAGCGAGTCCTCGGGCGCCGCCTCGCTGTCGCCGCAGCGCCTCGATCAGGCCGCGCAGGCCGCCGCCGACGACCTCGAGCAGCGACTGCACCGGGAACTGGCCGCCTCCCACTTGCCTAAAGGTGATTTACCTGTTTATCCACTCAACATGTAACTAACTAAATATACCAATAGGAATGAAGTATCTTAACTCAGGGAGTTATTTGCTAACCTTACAAGTACTATATAATAATCACTCTGGTATAGTCAACTATATAGTGTATAACCACAGCATAATTTGAATGTTAACTCAATAAAATCAGAATGTTATTATGAAACTGCATCATCGTATTGTAGACAATTATCTCGTCAAGTGGAGCACGCCAGCAATTAATTCAATTGGTAGTTGGTCCCGCGCATGACTTAGGTACGTGCTGTCATAGGCAATTACCGTCGTGCTTTGTTACGCTTCCTTCGTGAATACGCTTTCAAAAAGTATTATATGGACAGGGAATTTGAAAAAATGAAATTTATGCACATTATAAAATTATTGAGTAGAAGCAATAGTTATGATTGGTGCCTTGAAAGCTATCTCTAGTCTCTACACAGAGACTGATACTTATCCTTCGCAATAAATATTGTTGTATAAAGCGACACGTACTTCGCCTAACTATCGTAGTCATTAATATACAGTCGGTCGTTCGGGATCATTAATTATAGCCAGGGGCGTGCACAGAGATTTGAAGTAGGGTAGGCAGAAGGTATCACATGATTAAAAAAAATTGGGTCTACATTAATCTCGGAAAATAAAACTCCCGAAACATCATAATTTTGAGTAGGTAGTTAGGTTTAGTAAGTATTTTATTAATTTGTATAAACAAATTAGGTACATAATTATTTTCAAACTATCCGTGTATAAAGTTGATCAACATAGATACCTAGGTATCTATTTTACAAATCTATTAACTAGGTACCTACTTTGGAGCGGCGAAGTACAAATGGTTACACATCAAGCTATGCGACACCAGTATAAACTGACCGTTAAATGCATAGAAAAATCGTACAAAGCGAGATCAAGATGACTGGATTTTAAAAACATTAATGAAATTGGTACACAACCAGTGCTAACAAAACAAACTATACCTATAATCGCAAATCGTAGTTTATTAAAAGAAATAATAAAATTATTACCTTTTTTGAGTTACGCCTAGCCCGGACATACGACACACGCAAAATCGCCTTTGGAAATATTTTCGTTTCTTCTTCGAACGACAATAAGGACAACGCACTCATATTTAATTTATTGAACAACACAAATCACCAGCACAGAGCTCACAGCTATAATTTTACATAATTTTCGGTAAATTAACAGTTCATTTAAATTATAATTCATTACATTACAATTTATTCACTTGCACATAAAAACATAACCAAAACAAAATGGCCAAAAAAAACGTAAACAATAAGTTGACCAAAATTAATATATCTATTTTCAATCAACAAACGCTACGTTTTGTTGACTTCTTAAATTAGTCGGATAACGAAGAAGCAGTGCTTTTGCAGTTGTATAGAAATTACCAACCTAACAAAAAAAAAATCCAACATCAGCACGAGAAAACAAGCAAATTGTACCGGCTACGCATTAGTACATGCTTCCGCCACCATCACACAATAGCGAGGTGGCGGCGCCACTGGCGCAACGCTTCAATATATCGAAGAAAGTAGAAAGTGGTTGTAGTACTTCAATATATTTTCGATAGATGGCGTTAGTGACCAGTTTTTCAAATTAAGTATCAATAAAATTGCGAAATCTCTGTATGATGTCAGTAAATATTCATGTCGTGTTTATGAGTGACAATATGTATTTGACTATGTAGGTTTACCATGATTTTGTAGGGTATGCAGTGCTTATCTGCATGTATGGTGTGCACGCCACTGATTATAGCGAAATACAAAGGGATCTGTATAGCAGTACGCTATGTTATTATGAGACTATCACGCTAGTTAGCTTGCTAGCAACTTCAGTATGTGTGCGTTAATACCGGTCCTTACTCACACCGCGCAACTGATGCATTGCGAATTTCTAATGCATTTTCATTTCACAATACGCGTTAAAATATAATTTAACTGTAAACTAAAGAATTCTTGTATTTACTCTTAATAAATGCTGGCATATTTAACATACATGGAGTCACGTGTACTGAAATGAACTTAATAATGAATTGTCGTGTAGTTATTTTCATTATGCAATAATCGACCCCAGTTTATCGATGCTTCGTATGTTTTTGTGTAAAATTCATTGATAACAGAGTTTCATGCAAACAGTGTTGTTATGTCATGTATTTCCATAGCAACTTTACGCGTGTCTACTTTATCAATATGTATAAATTGTGCGCGTGTAGGTAGAATGGCAATCGAAAGTAGTGTTTTTATAAATATTGTAGTTGCAATTTCATGATACTGCTGTATTGCCATGTCTCGTATTATAAAACTTTTAGGTAAAAAATAAGTTTTTACATTGCGGCACTAATTGCGTTGTTTGTTTTTTTTTTTCAATAACCATTAGACGCTAAGGTTTATTAAAAATTCGGTACCTCAATTAAGTCCAAGGTCGAATGAGAATGACCAAGTTGAGTTAAAAACAATGTTTTGTATGTGAGGCCCTTAAAAGCTGCCTTGTAAACATCAGATCACTTCGCATCTTGTTATAACGCATAAATAATACTTAATCTAAAGGAAACATCAATAAAACAGAATCTGTTTAAATGGTTAACACAAAGCAATAACGTTAGCCGCGTATATACGAGCGAGGAGCGCCGCAATAAAGACTAAAATCATTACCGCTTTGACCTTGACTACAAGTGTGTAAACACAACTGCGCCGTACAGAATTCTAACTAATATTCATACGAGGATTTTTTATTTTACACCCACATGCTCACTCAGTGAGATAATCCGACACCTATGCTACTTATAAAGTTCTTATTGCAGTCGTAATCGCGGGAATTCATTTTATAGTATGCACCAGAGCAAACTATTTTTAAAGCCACGACAGAACGCGTCGTTCGTAGAATGGGGTTACTGTTTTCGATTTTCGCAAAGCTAAAAAGCTCAGCTGGTTTTAGTAGATAGAGTATTTATGATGCAAATACTTGCTCTTAGGTTGTTTTTGCAATTTTAGTAATAATCTATGCTTAGGCTAATTGGACATAATGATCACAATATGCATTATAATTAAATATTTTGATTCAAAGTCTTTCAGTTTGACAAAGTATTTTTCTATTAAATTTTCTGCTATTGAATGCACATAATATATAAACTTGGTAACTATTATTATGGAAAGATTTTGAGCTATTGTTTAATACTCGTTTCTGTTTTTACAGGTGTGTTTGATGCTCAGCCGACAGCTACCGAGCGCCAAAGGGAAAACCTAAGCTTGCGATTACGACGGGAGTTTGGTCTTGCCTTACCTGATGACGAAGAGACGAGACCACCTACCGAAAACACCGGTATGGCCTCTTGGAGACATAACAACCTCATGGGACATGGTGCTGACAGTTTGGGGCTTTGCACTGATATACCTGATACCCAGCCGGGGCGGTACGATACAGCGAGAAATAGGGGGACCCCACGACTCACTCCTCCAACATCTAACTGTCAAGATGACCAGTGGAATAGCAATATGTATAGCACAGCTTATGGGTACAAAACGGGAGTGAAGGGGTTAAAGTGGGGAAGGAGAGGATAGCCTATAAGGATAGCTTATAATTAATTATATACTCAGTAGTAACCCTTTGTAGATTTAGGTAATACTCGCTACACGTATCTAATTCTGTGTCCGTGTCATCTTTGACACTAGGTTAGGTTAGAATAAATAAAATTTTTCTATGATAAATTAATAATATTTAAACGTATCGTAGGTATTGTTTGGTATTTTACAGTTTAATTTAGGTTAATTGTTTTGTACATAATACAGGTATTTATGTTGGCACGTTGAATAAAACATTACTGCAAGTATAGCGTTGTCATTTCTAACCGCGTGTATGCTTTGTCCGGCAGATGGCGCGGGCGGTGCGAAGCGGTGCGACAGGTAGTGGGCTGTGGGCTGTGAGCTCACTATAAGACATTATTTTTGTAAATCTCAGACGGAGTCACACCCGTCGCCTGTATTATATAATAACTAGTATAATGGAACTTTTCTAAGAGTGTACGTTAGATGCGATGCGCGCGTATTGTATATTTCCGTTTCACTTCTACGTTTTTATTTTCCACGGTTTTCTGCAAGTACAAATTGTTTTTATTTCCCTTTGTACATATTGTATATAGGAGAGTTAAGATATATTATAGGGAACCTAATGGGTAACGTATCTATGTATAATGGTATGAAAGATTTTTTATATATGTACAATGTTTATGTATCTTATTGATATATTTATTTATTATCGATTTATTCGATAGTGCGTTTAGGGAATGACGGCTAGGATTTTTGTACGCATAATGTTTAAGTAAATTATAGTTGTTTTTATTATTTGTTTTATGTTTTCTAGCATATATAGGGGGTCCGAGGGCTCGTCCTAGTTCTAGGTCTCTTGTTAGTGTTAGAGGTTTCACGTGTAATTTAGAGTCGTTTCAATACAGATACGCATTCTCGCATTAGCCATTTGTAGAGGTTAAATCTGTGTTATAATTTAAGTGGAGCGTATTGTGCAAAGATTAATTTCTTTGGTCCATCATCACAAGGACGAATGTTGAGGCAGCTGGGTAATAGTGTTCGAAGTCATGCCTGCGACACCACCCGGCACCATTTTCTCTGCATAGATCGAAAGTGAATATTTATTGGTTATGTTTCAAGTATTATAATTATGTGGACGCTTTTGTTCATAGTAAAATATAAATTGTTTTATATTGCAGTGTTGCCAAGTGGTGTCGTGGGCGATGTCCTAGTTTAACGTGGCTTTTGCATCCAAATTGGATAAACGAGGTCGTGAATCCTGACTGATATGAATTGCAATCACACTAGTACTATACATAGAAATATACCTGTTCTTTTAGATACAGCAAATTCGTAAATGAAAGCAGTTTATAAATAGCACTGATTACTTCTTGATAGTACTGTGTGCTTTTTGTTAATCGGACTTGCAGTGTATTACAATACAACATGGAGGTTCAGATGAGATGTGTACTGTGTACATTTGTTTTGTGTTGCTTCACAAGTTGTTTGTAACACACTGCATACAATGCATAATGTTAACAAATGTAAACTATCATTTTGAACTCTACAGTTCAGAAGATGTATTCTACAACGCTTACGTTATTTGTAAGAACTAAACTGCAGAGTTGAAAATTGAGAGGACCGCGACATTCTGTTAGTTTATTGCTATAAGTGAATTGTTTATATGACAGAAGCTATTGGACGTTATATTTACAATTGTTAATGTGTTGCCGCTTGTATATACTTCTATAATAACAACGAATCGATGTTGTGAATAACCTCGGGCTAAAATGGAGTTTATCACAGAAGCACCCAGTGATCTAAGGAAGCTATGACCAGGCACTTGCAAAATATTCTGTTTGTTATATTTAGGTAGGTCTAGTACTCTAGTTTTAGTTTACATCTTGTACGCGACATTTAGCACTGATGTGACTGAATGCAGTCAGAAGTTGCTTCCTAATATTCCCAGTGCGATAGTTGCCTAAACAGGTGTTACGTTTAGTTTAATTAATAACAAAATATTTAGTGTAATAGAGTAGGTACTCTGTGAGTATTGAAACAAGGGTTTACATGTACAGTTGATAAATTGCTTTACCCAAACATTTCTAAGTTTATAATTTTGCCTGTGACTTATATTGCAATAATTAACCGAATGCAATAATTCTTTCTAAAAGAAACTTTCTGTGTATTTATATTTCGTGCTTCAATTAAAATTATAGCTAATATTTTGATAGTGGTAATTACTTATCGGTGTTTCTATTTTATTGGTAGATTTAACCACTACTAGGTAAATCGAACTGTGAATATTGTTGCAATTTAGGATAAAAATCTATGTAGTCAAACTACGTTTATAAGCCCAGTGTCTGACGTTTCATCCAAATTGTTGCTCAAATTTTCTATTGTGGGTTCCAGGAAATTGGTTTTTATAGGGAACCCTGTTTATTATTAGATTGTGTGCTTTTTGAGGTCTGTCAAATAGAATGTTCTAGCAAAAGTTGCTGCTTATTGCGTGTCAATTACATACATGTACTATTTATTTGTCAACTCGCAATTCCGGTGAATTAATTTATTCATGATGAAATAATATTTAATTATGATTAGATTTTTATTTATTAATTTCAACAACCCAAGTGACTGTGTGTCTAAAAGTACATATCGAAATTTCCATTGAATGCACATAATGATTTCCTACTTCGTGCAGCCGTTTAGAAAGTCTAGATAGTTGCACTTCCTTTGTTTACTTACCCGCGACGTCGGCTCGTCACTAAGCTACTACTTAAAATTTAAGTGTTTTACGCATAATCTTAAAAATGTTAGATTCTAGTGAAATACGTTGCAATAATACGCCTCGAAGGCAAATAAATACACATAGTTGTTAACACACAGAAAATATATTTTAACAGCTTTATTTAATCCATGATTTTATTATTTTTGTATTGTATAAAAAGAATATTGTAGGAAGATTTTTATGATTTTTTTTTTATTGAATCAAATGTAGATTTATTATGAAATGTCTCAACATTTGCGCAGCCCGACTGGAGCCACAGTGTCGGTGTCTGCCTAATAGATTTGTAAATATTTCGATCTGGTTTATAAAGTGTAAATTAATTGCTTAATATCTATTGTCGGAATGCGTTTTGTTGTGTGTACGCTGAAGCAAATAATACTTCCAACTAGTCTTCTTCGTTCCGCATTACATATTAAAGTAGGTATCTTAAATTATGTAGAATTTGAAATAATTGTAGTTTTAATGTTCACTCGAGGCAGCCCAGTAAATGAGTGTACAGGACAACAAAACGCAGTCCAACATTTTAATGTTTCTGTAGTATATTAGATGAAAATCTTTGTGATAAAAATTTCTTAATTATATCAACCCGTAGAGAAGCGTCTGTGTATATATTATAATAGTTAATGTTAAGTGAAAGCTATATTTTGTTATGGTGAACAAAAAGCGCACTCTCTATCGTTTGCCATATTATGAAGCTAGTTAATTGGTACTTCCCCCTCCTTGTGATCGCACCCACCTTCGGCTTGTCCCGCTCCCCCGTCGGATATGTTTCATGTAAGGTATTCGATGTAACAATGGAATATTTTGCAATATATATAATTAATATAATTTTTTAACGCTAAGTGGATCGTAAATAGAAAAGCTGTATATTATCCAGATGTTAAATATTATTATTTCTTTCTCAATGTTTTAACTAAGCATGTAAAATTTAAAATAATACTAGAGAATAAAAGATGTTATGATAATTAATTACATAAAATCTTCGTTTGAATGTAGTGCCTTTCCTTTAATCCAAGCTCATCACACAATGTGTCGATACCCGACTGAAGCAAATAATAAACGCGACTCTGTCAAGTATTTATAACATTTATTACTTAAACATGTTTATGTATTTACAAAATATAATAAAGTATACATTTAACAGAATATTTTAAATTGTATTTAGAACTAAATTTACGTAAAATTTGACACTTCTTTGCACATTGAACTCAAACCTGCGGTAAATAATATTTTAAGTGAGAATCCAATGTAAAACAATCATAACTTTACCGCTAAATAAAAACCTCAGTCTTTATCTTGTCCACAAGTAGACACCACACCTTGTCTCCACCACTACCTCCAAACACTAAGTAAAATTAAAAATATTTGAAACAATATTCAGCAGCTCCCTATATGCGTATTGTATTATGGATAAAACGCATATCAGGGCTGTGGAAATTTGGTGGGAAAACATGTCTTACAAAATAAATTTGTTTGGCCTTGAATCAGCTTAAAATAGTGTTTCAAATTATCAGTAACGTCTGATCTCTGAGGAGAGTTATCATCAGTTGGTATAAGGATGTTTGTACAGTTGATACAGCAGCACAATATTTTAAAACAATTATATACAAAAGAATTACAAGAATGATTTAGTCACTGACACAATATTCCTATTATTTTAATTCTAATTTTATACTGCACTGTTATACTAATATAGCAAGTATCAAATGTCAAATCACCCTCCTTGTACTGGTAATAATGCACCACAGCTGTCAGCTATATTTTGACTACTCTTTACATATCACAGCCGTAACTAAGAACACTGAAAACATTGTCCACACCATTATTAGTCCTTCAAACAAATTCACAGTACGCCGCCGCGGAAACTGTGGGCAAAACGTGTTCATAGCTAAAAACTTACAATTAATAATGTCCTTATCAGGATTTGCCCACAGAATAAAGTATCTTTACACAAACTTGAAGATTGGTTGTTTTATGCAACTATATGCATTTGCAACGTTCCACATTGCACTTAATTTTGACTCCCATTTGACTAGAACAGCTGGAGAGACTGATAACACTTATACAAAAACACAGCTGAACTAACATTTCTAAAATCGATAAGATCTTTTCAAGGTTATTTTGACCAATCTGTGTCTTTCAACGAATCACATTTAATCAATCCTTTGCACTTTAGCAGGGATCAAACATTTATAAGTTGACCATTTTATTAGAAATACGTAATCTCAAAAATATCTGCTGTTTTCATTAGATACAAAAATATATGTATTTAAGATATTCGGAAAATAGCTTCGTTATAAGGCTCATTATTTTTAGGATTAGAATATTTTAAAAATATTAGCTGTCATGTTCAAATGTTGGCGCCGTTACTGTAAATATGGCGACCGTAGTTCATAAATTAGGCACTGGATACGTGTCTTTTAACTTATACAGCTCGCCATTGGTCTCGCTCGTTGGGCTCCCTCTTGACGTGGTAGTTGAGACAGGGCTGGAAGTTGACGTGGATCGTCACCGGGTGCAGCGGCGCCGCCAGGTGCACCGCTCGGGCGTCCAGCACATCGTACGGACCAAGGTGCCTTTGAAGGCACGCGTAATCCACACTTAGCGGAACGTAGTATTTTCCTGCAAATACAGAGATACAGAATTAGGTTTATTTAATGTATAATTAAAGTAAGCGTCTGCCTCCGGCCAAATCGATATCACTTACCAAGAGCATTCAACGCAAAAACGGGGACGTACTGCGCTGGAGGAGGTGGTTTGTCATAATGATGGTGATGAGGTGATTCACTTGACGTATCCTGTAAGCAGATTTCATATTTATATAGACAAAACTAGTCAGGATTAAGAACAATTCCTTTTGAAGCACAAATAAAGTGAAGACGCCGTGCTACAAGCCTAAAGCTGTAAGTTTCCAAATAGGAAAGGAATAAATCATTTCCTGACATTCAGAAAAAAATTAAAAGCAAAAGAGGCTAACGACAAAGCCATCAATAGGTTAGCAAGAGCCGTGACCACCCACCTTTCTCACTCTAAATGCGAACTCGTCTCCCTGTGGACTATATAGCTTGGTAGGCTTGTAGGGGTTAACAAGAACATAATGTGCAGGCGTATTGTTAGAAAGCAGTCTAAGAGAATGAAGCTGTACCTGCGGCGAGGTGTCCCTAGCATCCTCGGTGGAGCCGGAGTTGGACGTGGACGTGGACGGCGCCGGCTTCGTGGCGCGTCGCCGCTTGTGCGAGTACACTTTACCGTGCGCGTGCGCGGTGCGGGCCAACATGTCCGCCGCCTGGAGAGGTACGTGTATATTATTACATATTTCCTGTCAGGTCTGCTCCAAGTCTTATTAGATTCGGCTTCTTATCTTAATGTCAGTATTTAGAAGAACAATGGATGTATTTAATTTACCTCTGTATCTTGTGATCTCGAGAATCGCCTTTCAATTGAGTTTTTGAACTTGTAGGAATGCAGGTAATCTTCGTTATGGTCAGGTTTCCTCACGGCTCTTAAGGTTGGCTCTCCTCGCTTGCGTCGCCCGTCTAGCGGTAGAGGCTCGGACTCCGGTAGACCTTCACCTTCTCCTGCCATCGGTGTCGGTGCCACTGATACTGCAATATAATAAAAAAAGGTAAATTATCCGTATAGATACATTTATTATTTAACCCTGTATGACACCGCCTATTTGTATGTATGTAGACGTGGCATGAGTCGTTGCTTGAAGTAGAGCTGATGGTCGGGCTAGCGAGGGTACTTAAGTTTTATAGTAGGTTATAATGATAACAAATGAATTTAGGTTGTCTCGATCATTACCCTCCCAACGAGACAATCGTATCAACGTGTTGCGGCGTGACGTCACCATTTACTGACTAATTCAGTCATCAAATCATGGCCGACTGATAAAAACCCAGTCGATCTCTTGCTTGAATTAGCTTTTCAATTATACTATAAAGAAATATATTCAGTATTTAGGTACATTGATATTTTTCATTTAGGTAAAAAATATATTTTTTTATATTTCAAATTTTTTGAGTTAAAGCTTTCTAATGCTATTATGTAAATGGGACTCGTTCATAATATGATTGTACTCTCGTACTTTGCCCAACCATGTTGAAGAAGTTTGGTGTCAGATTTAAACAAGACGCTAGATAAGCTATCATTGAAATGAAGTTACCTCGATCACATTCCATAGAGTAGGGGTGTTCTTGGGGGCGCTCCTCGTAAGGCTCGGGGGCGAAGGGCGGCGGCGCGGGGGGCGGCGCCTGCGCGATCACGCCGGGCTTCATAGTGTAGCCATGGGAACTACTCGACGAGCTCGCCGTCTCCGACGATGAGCCAGGGTGTGAACGCGGCTTATCGCGCGGTAATGGTTCGCCTGAAAAATGCAATCTTTTTTTTAGAACATTGTGTAGAAGATATTGTTTCAAATTTATACTAAGTAAGGCGAATGCAATGAATTTACCTAAATATGAAACACATATTTCCAATTTACATTTGACTTTAAAATTTGAAGGCAGCGTAAAAGTCGTTCTTAGGTCGCATGGATTTTGGAACAAAGCAAAACGTTTGAGCCTAAATTACTATGACTAATATCCGTTTGGCTATTCCTTCAAAGATTAAACCTATCTATAAGCTATTAAATTTGTGTTCTGGCTTCGCATCAACCGCTTCATTATCTGCACTTCCCTATGGTTGACTGTCTGCCAAGGTCGGCACGGCATTCACTTTACTTTTGTGTGAAAAGAAATAAATAAAAAGCTATATGTACACCAACCTTTAGCAACAGCCTCGCAGTGCCTTTGCATATGCGCAGCTAATTGCACGCACAAGCCGTCTCCCGGGCCGTACCCGTGCACCTCGACGAGGAAGCGCATGACCTCGGCCACTGCGTCCTGGTAGCCAGCTCTGAAGTGCTCCTCCCCCAGTCCTCGGTCAGCAGCTACAACAGAACCCCACGCGAAGATGGAACATCTTCCGGCGGGAACTCCCAACAACATTAGCGTTCTTCAGTGTTAAGTAATGAGCGTGTTTCTTTAAACCTTAATGGTGATTGGTGGATATGTCTTTTTAGTCAGATGGAACTTTTAATGGATTGCTGGTTATGATTTTCGTGTTGCGATTGTGATTCGGACATAAACCATGCGAATTTATGTTTTTGTAAATTCATGAGTATTAATTTGCCTTTAAAGTATTTAATTAATTAATATTATTATTTCTGTATTTTATGAAGTTGGTATGGTTTATATGCGAAGGATGAAATGGGATGAGAAATCATCGGGCATCAATTAAAATAGTTTTTGAAAAGTTTTGAGTCAGATTTCCTAGTTTATGACGCTGCGGAAGCTTTATACCTTAATAATAAAATTGTATATAATTTGCTTTCACTTGTTTAAAATTGATTAATTCATGACAACTTCAACTACTAATGATATGCCTAGCTATAATTATTAAGCGATGACGCAAAACGACACGTGACTACGTGAATGAACAAGTTTTGTTTACTTTGTTTTTTAACGTGATACAAAAACTTTAATCACTTTAAACTGCCTAAGATATTGAAAGATCGCCCGCCTAAGAATGTAATTTTCTTTTTCATAAAGTTAAAACTGGCTCAATGTTACTTATGATCTTTTAATAATATCTACTTTTCGAAATTTCGTTAATGCATTTAAAGCAAAGAATTTTATAAATAGGTACTGATAAGGATTATGTCACCGTTGATGCCCTACTAATTAAGTGAATATTTTCCAGATATTAGTTATGATTTATATTTTTTAGGTCACACAACAGATTTTTCCTGTTTGTGTTTTTAAGATTAGGACACACTACACACAATGCTCTTGTTTGACGAGTGTAACTTTAAATATTCAGAGATCATGTAGGAATACGATTTTAGGTAATCTATTTTAAAGGATTTTATAGCTAGTTTGTTATTTCCTTTGTATTCTGACATCAATCTTAAAACATTTGAAAGCTTCTGAAGAAAACCATGTCGTAAGAAGTTTAACCGGTAACCTACAAGTAAACGTTTCCTAACGAGATTGATTTTAAAAAATCGGAATATTTTGGATTTTGTAAAAGAATTTTAATTTTACTTCCAGACTTCCAGTGAGTACTGTACAAGAACTAAAGATTTCGGGTGTGGGGAAACAAGAAATGATTTAAATACTCATTTGTTGTTTGTAAGTGAAGTATAAAGAGTCTTGTATTCACCAGGCAGCAACAAGAGTCAGAGTATAATATGTTTATGACTCTCATTTCAATGTACCACTTAATATCAAACTGGAATAGTTGTGTACCTCGGCGAATACAAGACTATGTTAGAAATAATTGAAAAATAAAATAAAAAAACAACTAGGGCTTGAATCTGCGACATTTCTTTGCCGTTTCGGTCCTTCGCAAAAACAAGCCCGTATACAATTTGTATTAAATTTCAAACACTCCAACCAATTAGATCGATCAATTCCTATCTATGACGTCAAATGTTAGAAAATAGAAGTAGCATAGCGCCGAATGTGACCAACTTTGGCTCAAACATTGGATGTTGTTGGAGTTAGCATATAAATACGTACAACTTTTTTCATCATTCACAGAACAGAATCGAAGATCTGACGGGTTGGAGCTTAATCCAAAAGTACCTTTCCTGTTGTTTTCCAATTATAACTAACTGATTTTACCAAATAAGCGCGCTTTCCGTACGAACCGTTCGCGCGTTCCTGCAGGTACTTCAGATGACGTATGGCCATCTCGATGATTTCTGTCTTCTCGACCCTGCCGCGGCCTTTCTTCAGGTACTCGGGCGGTATGAGCCGCGACAGGTCTGCCAGGCAGTTGTTCATTCGGTCCCTGCGACGCTTCTCTATGATCCGGTGCGACATCGGGTCTTGCTGTACAACCAACTGGATAATGAGCATATTGGGTGGCACTTCCACAACTTACCTACTTCGTTTGAATTTAGATACAGAACTACATACGCCAGTATAATTATCTGCACGTTGTTTAAGTATCTAATTTCTTCCAAGATTTTTTTTACTTCAATAAAAGACTAATTACAGAAGCATGATAATCATGCAGGCGTTTGTATAAACTAAATTGTAAAAAGCATGCATTGACTGGGACTGGGACATCTATCTACTCTAACATAAACAGGGGTCTGCCCTCCACAAGTTTACATCAAACAGATATAAAAAGATAAAAATCGGGCATATTCAGTATGACTTGCCCTCGAGACCTTCCCCTTCTTCAAGTAGGCGCCGGGCGGGTACTCGGCCTCGTCTTCCGATGGCGCAGCGAAGTTGAGTTGCTCGCCAGCAACGCGGCCGAAACCGTCGTTGGAATTATAACTGTAACAAGAAAGAGTTAAACATTGTTACTGAGTAAAATATTAATTATAGACCTTTTCTAAAAAGTAGAGGCCTTAGGTGATCCGGGAATCAGACCACATGATCCGTTGCTCTGAAGTCGCGTTTCCGAAGCGAAGGTTCAAGTTTTTGAACAGTGATGAAGGAATTGAAAAGTTTCTTAGTAGAATACGGGTACATGCTATGTAGCTAGTTCTGTTCCCTGCCCATATTGCAAGTGGCTTGGTAGCTTAGCATTGACCCAAAGTGTTTTATTTGACGAAAAAGCTTTAAGTAATTTTCCACAGAGCTCTATCAAACATCTTATCAGCTTCGCTTTTCTCATATCATAATTCCACGTAAACAAATCCATCTTTCACATCCACGTGATCTCCTTGTCAACTTCGACAACATTATCCCGAAGTACCGGGATCAAAGTGAATATTAAAAGTTAATAGATTGTGTAAGCTCAAGGTTGTCTTTGAAGAGACATGTGATCACAAAACGTGGACGCAAGGTCGTTGCGAACTATTTGAAACAATTGAATCTTGTATCCGGACTATTATTTAATTAGAAGTTAATACCTATTCAGTGGTCTGATATAGATGTGGACATACATAGCTTGGCCCCTAATGTTACTTGCGTGTGGTCTACCAAGGTTTTATTGTCTTGATTCTACCTGATTTATTAGCGCATCATTAGGTACGATCATGAAGCAATAACAGTGGTAACCTCTTTTTATGAGGGTGGAAATCATCAAATGACTTTTCTAAATGTCCGTCTCCTTCTGACTAAATAGCAGCCCTAGTAACCCTTGCGGTTGTCCGTAGCCCTAGTCGGGAGTAGGAACAGTGAAGTAAGTGGTTTCTACTTCTCAATACCAGAAAAAAAAACCCTTAGCTGTTTAGGAAGTCATTCAAGTCGGCTGACTAACAACTAATAAAATAATTATCTTAATATTAACTCGTCGAGTACCGGTTTTGCAGACACAATTATAGAACAATAGGTTGCGGTCACCGGTGACCGCTTGGTATTTGACAGTTTAAACAGTTTATATTTCGGAAGCTAATTCCAATACCATATTTATCCAAAAATACGCCCTAACACAGAGATTATCCATGTGGTACTCTAAGACTTCGTTTTGTATTGATTAAAAACTTGTCAAAGTACAATATTGCTTACTCAGGTATAGGTAGGTAATGAAAAAATGCTTAGTTCGAGGTGCGATCACGTGTTCGACCTAGTAAACGCATTCAAGGTCACTCAACACGATTCTATCTACTTAGGTGTTTATATCACGTATCAACGAAATCTAAAAGATAATGTGATTATTGTCTTAATGTTAGCTTTCTTTCACGTTAGGTTTCTTTCTTTTTCTAGGAAAATAAAGGTAAGTAGATAAAACCTGGACGGTTTTGTTCGTGAAATCATGTTTCTGTAATTTTAATTCTTTCTTAAATAATAACTGATTGATGGCTGTCACCCAGGTGTTTTTGTTTTTGTGGCATGTTGTGTTATGTTATAGATTTTATATTATTTTCTAAGAATCTCTTTCAATATTGAGAACTAGTTTGTAGGTACAGGTTCGTCAGTGTTCCGTGTACCTGCATTTTCACCTAATGATATAAACAAATAAATGAATAATATATTATATGTGTAAATAATATAAAATATCTGATTCCTTAAAAAAAATATTAGTCCCCTGTGAATAGGGTTACCATACGTCTGGAACTTTCAATACAAGTCCGAAACTAAAATATTTGTCTGGAAAGCGGATGAAATTTTAGATCATTCAGAATTTCTTCAAATAATAATTGTAAAATCTAAATAAAAAATTTGACTGCTCAATTGTATACCGATTCTATTATAGAATTTATAGACATAAACATACAACACATACAATTAGATTATAAGAATTACTTAAGGAACTTTTTCATACGAACTAATGATGACGATAAGTCAGTCGATGACACCTACTAGTCAATTTCTTTCACATTTATTTCAATCTAGAACCAGAACAGCTTTGATGATGAAATAAACAATTTCATTTTGTCAAGTACCGATGTGAAAGGAAATTGATGCCTTTAAAATACACAGATAAGTACTCAGATACTCATAGAAATTCCGAGAAAAGTGCTGTGGTCCATGGTTGAAAAAAAAAATGGAAGACTAATCTATATTGCGTTTAATATTCGCCGAAAAACTTTATTACATTTGAAGACTACGCATTTAAATTTAGCTAGAATGTAAAGTTGACATTTAGGTAATAATTTTATTAAGACAATCATGTGACACATATCTACAAAAATAAAACAATTCAACAAATACACTTTGCATTCATCTTTGAGATGAGAAAATACGTAATTACTGCACATTAGATACCTTGGGTAATTTATTAATATTCACTTTCGGTAGAAAAATACCCAAACCAGCGATAAGTGGTCACACGATGTTCGCACAGATAAGTAATATATTGTAGCACGTGAAAATTATAACGTGATGCGACGCCCCAGACACGTGCCGCGGCCACCATTACGTATTTTTAGATTCCGCAGCTCCACATACGAATATACGATATACGATGGTCGCACGCACGTCTTTAAAAAAACCAAGCTCAGAAAATTGACATTGTTTTGTTCTTCAACGACTAATGTCAAGGATTGTTGTATTTAAAACAACAACTGTTTTCATTAACACTGGCATATTGTTTTTTTCTATGGCATAAAAAGCCGGTATACCAACAGATGGATCACCTGATGGTAAGTAATGGCACTGCGCATGGACACCCGGAACCCTAGAACCCACTGTACAAGTATTTTAACGGCCTTTTGGGGACTTGGAGATTCAGAGATTAGGGAGATTAGAGGGGAGGTTATTGGGCCTCCGGTAACCTGAGTCACACGACAAACCCAACGCAAGCCTTATTTCACGTCGGATTTCTGTGAGGTCGTGGTATAACTACGGTCGAGCCGGCTCATTCGTGCCGAATCATGGCTCTCCCACATAAAAAATTAATAATAAAAAATTGGTTTGTTCTTATCTAATTATATTGCAGTCCCTTTTTAGCAGACATTTTGAATTGTGTTTGAATTATTTTACTAGGTGGGCATTTAAAATAACTGGCCACTAAATTAACACCCTAAAAAAAAAGTTGAAACATTTTTTTGTGATTTTATTGGTTTTCTCCAGCACTCAGACTAGGGAGTCCAGGTTTTTGAAATTTGAAATATATAACAAAACATTATCTTACGATTTAAATTAAAAAAATGGTCACATTAAATAGAGATGAAATAGCTATTTCGATTGTTTGGCATAAAAAATAACAATTGGCTATTTCTAAGAACAACTGGCTATATAATATCCAACTATTCGTTTGTACAAATAAAGTATTCATATTTTATATGATAAAAGATATCGTATGAAGTTACAACACGAGTTGTCCGATTTTTCTTAGCGTAATATAAGCTAAGTATGTTTTTGGTTTCAAATTATTGCACAATATTATTCCGAAGCGTGATTGTAGATTATATCTAAATTATAGACGTTTAAGGCCATATAGGATAGAAAAATATACATTAAAAACAAGAAAACATCACGCTTTGTTTTGTGAAAGGCTGCTCAATTTAAGTTTTACCTAAATATCGTCTCATCTCTGTCATTGTCATTACAAAGAAATTGTAGTGACAGAACTATACTTAAGTGTATTAACATTTTGTTAATTTTATGTTATTACTTTTTATCCTTATAAAAAAGGTTTTAAGTCAATCAGGCTTGTCTTGGTTATTTGTAGATAAATTATAAAATACTTATTGAGATAAGTAACTTGACCAATGTTTCGACTAAACATAAAATTGTATGTAAATTAACAGGTGTCCTCCATTCTCAGACCACATATAGTTGATGTGTCCCCAATAATTTTAATTACCCATACACATTAACAGATTGTTATCATATTCAGAGGTTCGTCTAGGTCTGATGATTTCTTGAAAAAAAAACCCATAAAAACCTTTCTTTGAAACATTATTTCAATTTTGTTTTATCCGCTTTTAAAAATATAAATATAACAAGGTACCTGTTCTATCAAATATATATTTATTTAAAAGCCACGTGAAGGCGTTATATTTAATTCAGTTATTCAAAACATGACCTTCAACCGTCCATATTTTTCTGCAAACCATATATATTTTTACTAAATATTCAGGTAATATATGATTCTGTTGTCAAATCGCATAGGATTGAATTTTAACTAACTTTGAAACTCTCACTCACTACAAATTCTTACATCCGAGTAATCAAATAATCAAATCTACCTAATCCTTAATAAAGATTACGTTAAAATCCCAAATATGTTGTCCAGATAAAAAATCCAAACACTGAATAAGAATGTTTGGATTTTGTGTCAACAAACAATTTGATGGAATCGATGAATCGATAAAATTCGTGTCTTCACACAAATGTCAATCAAGTGGCATTGTTTACTGAGTTGTCACAACACTATAAACAAAACACTCACGCCAGAAGTCCCGGCAGATGATCGGGCACTCGTAGGTCGGGCCTCGAAAACGGCGTCAACAGTATATTCATCACAGACATTTGGTGAACGCGATAGGTGAGTACATGACCACTCTCACTACTGACACAGTGCGACGAATAATGATGCCCTCAACAGCCACGTGTGCTTGTAGGCTCCCTATAAGTGCAAGAAATAAGGGACAGTCTGAGATCTCTTGGCGCGCGGCGGTTCAAGTTGAAACGCTGATAACACGTCCGTCAACTACGCGCTAAACACGATAGTGATGTGCTAAAACGCTTTGTACTAGTACGATGTACACGCTGAAGGACTTTTGTAGGATAGTATCAACTGTTAATAGTCCATTAAATTGCACTAAATACAAACAAATCTGTGCAAATGAACTACGTTTTGAATTTTTGGCTATGAATATATTCATGACTAAAATTCAAAAATGATAAACAGATATCATGTTGACATTAAATCATTGGTC